ATATATATATATTGTATTATTTTATAGTAATGATTTGATTAGTCAGTCAATGAAAATATATATACATAACATGCATATAGATAATAATTAATATTAATTTATTATAGTAAATATAATAATACTAACTAATCTACTACCTTATATTATATATATATAAAGTTCATACTTAACACACACACACACAACCCACCACACACAACACACCACACACACACACCACACACACACCAACACCCCTACAACACCACATATATTATTATGATATATATATAATATATATATATATATACGTATATATATATGCACCACACCCACACACACATATACCCATATAACCTCTATCATAATAATATATATTTACACTATAATATCAATATATTGTATATATAAATCAATATATATATGTGTGTTGTGCGTTGAGTGGTGTGGTGAGTGTGTCGTGGTGTGCCATGTGGTGATGTGTGACTTTGTGTGTTCCAAGATATGAAGTTCATGCTTGTTGCTATAATAATATATATATAAGTAGTGCATATACAGTGATATAAGTATCCTACCTATAAAGATATATATATATATATATATAGTTAAAATATATATATATTTAATTATTAATAAATATATTAGATATGTATAGTATATATATAAGTATTTAATTATATATATACTATATATATATATATATACTATATATATATATATACTAGTAATATAATATATACAACACAACCACACACCAACACACACACACACACACAACACACCACACACACAAACACACAACGAGACATATATATATAATAAGTATATATAATATATATATGTATAAATATAAATATAATTATATTATTATCTGTGTGTGTGTGTGTGTGTGTGTGTGTGTGTGTTGTTGTGTGTAGTGTGTGTGTGTGTGTGTGTGTGTGTGTGTGTGTGTGTGTGTAGTGTGTGTGTGTGTTGTATGTGTGTGTAGGTATATGTATATACACTTTGTATATACATATGCATGTGTGTGGAAAGATATCAAATTGATACTTGATTGGCAAGTGAATTTATAACATATTTAGTCTACAATTTCTCTTTTTTAAATTATTTCTCGTTACTCACTCTTTTCAGCCTCTTCTGAAAGGTATCCCCATGTTTCTATTTGACCATTTCATTATATTCATGTACAAACCTCTATGCCACTGCTTTAAACTAACCTCATATACAGTCTCTTAAAAGACAAACAATACTATTGTCGTGCGTCATAATTCAAAGTTTGAAGCATGAATTTCACGTGAAGGGGTTCCTTTGGAGGAGGCTGCGAATAAGTTTATTACAAGCCTCTCTTGAATTAGCTTTTTTCTTTTTGTGTTTCAAAGTTTCTCCTTTCCCGTGGCACATGTTCTTCCCGCTGCGCTTTCCCGGTTAAGAATGTCAATTGAATAGTGGATAATGTTTAAGGATGAAATTAGTTCCATGGCGATGCCTTTGAATATCTTCTAAATTTGGTAATTCAGAATTTACGTTCGATGAAATCATATAGGTCTTACAAGGATATAACCAAGTTATTCATTTTAGAGAATTGTTGTGTTTTTCAAACTAATCTACGCATTGAAACATATAAGCCATTTATGTATATTTATCAACGCATATTTTACGCCTCGTTATGCATATCTACTTCAGCTCAAATTATTAAGCCTAGTTTTAATGGGGTCATATGCTAAGGTAATGACCTTCAATTAGTTCATGTAAATGGAGTCGTTTAACATGAAACTTGTATAATTCCCTGATAAGTGTATCAGAGTCCTCACAGTACTTTCCGGCGAGCATTAGCATGTTAATCCTCGCGACGAGAAGATGAAGCGGCGAACTTGGGTCGTTAAAGGAACTTCTTCCGGCCGGGATCAAGGTCACTCGCCCTCGGGCCTCTTCGGCCCCTTGTCTCGCCACCTTTCGTGTGGATGAGGCTTTTTGTACCTTGAATGTGTATGTACGCTATATACACTCACAGCAGTCCTTCTCTCTCTCTCTCTCTCTTCTCCTCTCTCTCCTCTTCTCCTCTCTCTCTCCCTCTCTCATCTCGCTCATCTCTCTTCTCTCTCTCTCTCTCTTCTCTCTGCTATGGGTTGGATTATGTGTGTATGTAATGGTCTTCATGTTGTGTATACTGTAGTATAGTGTATATGTGTAGTGATAATCAATGAACAACATACTTTGTATATATATATATATATATAGTTTAGTAACATATATATATAATATAATATATATATATATATATTACACACAAAACACACACACACACACACACACACAACACAACACACACACACACAAACACACACACCACACACACACACACACAACACACAAACACACCACACCAACAACACCACCACACATACACACATATTTTAATATATATATATATTATAGAGTATATATAAGTATAATATATATATATACTGTATGTTTATACTATATATATATATATGGTATAATATATATTGCATTATAGTAGTTATACATATAGTAATTAAGTATATATATATATATAATAATTATATATACGATAACATACCATATCATACAAATTTATAGTATAATATTTATTGTGTTTACATGCTAATATATCAATTATACTCTATTATATATATATATATAGTATACTAGCTATACTAATATAATAATATACTATTTATAATTATAATGTATATAACTATCAATAATTGTAAAGGAGAACCAGTGGCTGCGTTGAGATCTAATTCATTCATCTCATCACGATGAGCTACTAGAAACAATAACAAAAAACATATAATTAGATGCAGTAAACATAAAGCTAAAACTGTTCATAAATAAGTAAGCAATCAATTGAGATGGGACATAAGATCAACAATAGATAAAAAGCGCAAAACATGCGGTGAAAAAAAGTTGTGTAAGGGATATATGGACTAACCCAAACAAGTGTGAAATGGTGGTTAATTAGTGTATGATTGTACATAGTGAACATACCGGGATGAGCCTTGAGTTGGCATTCAGCGCGCGGTTTCATCTTATGTGGTTGCAGGGATTTCGTAGGAATGCAGTAGAGTATCAGTAGATTCTCCGTTAGGTAGTGAGAATGACAGAATTTTAAATCCTGTGAGGGAAAGCAATATGACTTCTGATTTAGAATGAATGGCGGGATAGCGGAAGATAAGAATGTCTGGTACAGTGTAGGCTCGGTTCTTATAGCCTTACCCACATATATTAGCTCCAAAGTTTCCTATGTTTTGAAACCCATGCCGTTGTAGAATGATACCAATGTACCTAGCCATTGCCCATCTAGGACCAGTTGTAAAAAATAAACACCACAATATTTGAACATAATTCTGAGGGTCAGGAAACCTCTTATTTTAAAGAAAGAGTGATATATATAGTAGATCAAAGCGAAAAGATAGATGAATATTAGAGTATCATGAAGTTCAGGATCTCACGTTAATTGTCTGGCGGATGTTGAAGCTTTATGTCCCAGGTACGAGGAACGTTTAGTATACTTAGCGGACTATATAATTATAATATATTATATAATATATACGTAATATATATGATATACACACCACACACACACACAATCACACACACACACATCACACACACAACACACAACTTATAATGATATATATAAATATATAATATATATTTATATATATATTATAATGTGTGTGTGTGATGTGTTGTGTGTGTGAAAGTGGTATTGATAGTGTGTAGTGTGTGTTATGGTTTGTGTGTAGTTAGTTCATATATATGAACATACCATACATAATATTAAACCATATATATATTATATAATATATATATAGTTATTAATATCTAATAATTTATTAAATCATATGATGTGTGATGTGTAGTGTATGTGTGAGTTGTTTGTGTATGTGTGTGTGTGTGTGTGTGTGTGTATGTATGTGGTGTGTGATGTATGTATGTATCTATGATGTACTGGTTGTGTGCATATATAGATATATATAATCTTAATATATATATAACGATGTGGTGTGTGGGGTGTGTGTGCTGTGTGTGTGTGTGTGTGTGTGTGTGTGTGTGTTTTTGTGTGTGTGTGTTGGTGGTATGGATGTATATATTGTATGCATGTTTATGCACACACACACACACACATCACACACACGACACACTAACACACACACACCACACACACAAACACACCACAAACAATATTATATATATACACACACACCAAAAAAAACAACACCGATTGCTTGTAAATAAATGGGTAAAAAGATCCCTGCTTAATAATAAGTAACTCAACAATGAATGATGATAAAAATATTTAATGGCTCTCTCCTTCACTCGATCTCTTTCTCCATTTCACACTCTTTGCCTCTCTCACTCATCCAGCTTCTCGCCCTTTCACCGCCGTCTCTGTCTCTTCCTTTTTCCGTAATTTCTTTCCTCACTTCCCTCTGTTTATTCCTCTTCCTATTCTCTTTCTTCTTCCTTCCATCCCCATTTTCCTGTTTCGCTCTTCCTTCATTTTTTCCCTCTCCCCCTCCGCCATTCCTCTTCCCTCCTCTCTTCCTCTCTACTTCTCTTCGTCCTCCCTCACCTCCTTCCCTTTTCCGTTTCTTTTCCCTTCCTGTCTGTTTCATTTCCTTCTCCTTCCCCTTCCCCCTTTTTTTCTCTCCAAGCTTCTCCTCCTGCATAATTCAATCTTCTTCTCCCTCACAATTTCATTCTTCCTTCCTCTTCCCCCCTTCTCCACTTTCCCATCTTCTCTTCCTTCCTTTCCCTTTCCCCCTTTTCTCCTTGCCATCATCTCTTCCTTCCTTTCCCTTCCCCCTTCTTCACCTTCCCAACATCTCTTTCCTCCTTTCTCTTTCCCCCTATTTTTCCGCCTCCCAATCTCTTCCATCCCCCATTCTTCTCACTTCCTCCCCCTTCTCCCTTCCTTCCCCTTTTCCCCTCATCTTCACCCTCTTCACAAACCTCCTCAACTAAAGCCTCCACGCTCTCTCCCTCCACAGTGGCCGTCGTCATCGCCTTCTTCCTGTGCTTCGCCCCCCACCAAGCCCAGCGTCTTATGGCCGTCCACGCCGACCCCCGTAACACGCTCGCAGTCAAGACGTTCACCGTTCTGCACAACATCTCGGGAATATCCTATTACATCTCCACTTGCGTCAACCCCATTCTGTACCATATCTTCAGCAACCGGTTCCGCCAAGCTTTCCGGGTGAGTGGAGTCAGTCCGGGTGCTTTGCGAGGGACAAAGTTAAGAGTGGGAGAAAAGTGTTGCAAAAGATACCTCTGAGTCAGGGTGTGTGTTGGTTAAGGCTATGTGGGGCTCTGTTTTAAAATTTTGCTTTTGGATGATTTACCTAAAGTATATGCCTTAAGTGTGGTGTATGGTAGATGATATAGATGCATATATTTTTTAAGACAATACACAAAATCTCCATGATTTCCATAACGTTTCAAATGTTCTTGTTGCATTTGACATGTTCATTATACCAACCTTGATGATGACCAAGCTTCGCACATATTCTGTACACACTTTCCTTGAATTTATATGGGACTGCCAGTGAAGTAAATTACTTCAGATACACACCCTATTACAAAGCAAACTGAACACATTACGTCTGGATAAGACACAAAATGAACCCCAGTAAAATCTACGCGTAATATCATGAATGGATTAACACAACGGGGGAAAACTAGAGGCTGCCTCAAGATATGCAGAACCATGAAATTGCGTATTAAAGTTCCCTGGGTTCTCCTCAAACCACAGTTATATTTCATTTTATTTTTATTTTTATTTTTTCTTCTTCTTCTTTTATGTAACATGTTTTGTAACTGCTAATATTATTATTTGCTCTTTTCGATAAACATGTAATGAAATACGATAGTTGTACCTAAAATAATGGCTTATTTTGAACACTGAACTAATTATGCAAACAGCTATGCTGACTGTCATAAACAGTTGCAAACTTTGTATTCTCTTAATGAAGTTGCTCAGGACGTTTATAAGTTTAATATATGGTATTGAAAGGCTAAGTACACACACACACACGCATGCACACACACACACACACACACACACTCACACTCACACACTCACACGCACACAATCAGGCACACACACTCACATATTTATTTATTTATCTATTTTTCTATTTATTTGAATATTTACATGCATACATGCATATATGCATATATACGTATATGGGTTACTCTGGATTTGTTACCCATCATTAAAAAGCAAGAGATAAATATTCTATAGTATGCACAAATAATGTTCAAATTTAGGCAGTGAGTGGAAATTTTGGCTTGTGAACCTAAACAAGTAGTTAATTTGTTTCCATTGCTTTTGTTTTCGTTAAAGTAGACGTGCGTTATTACAAACCACTCAGAATTTAAGTTCTCCCACTAACTTCAAAGGTCATATTGTAAGACATTTCTAGGTCCATACCCTTCTTTCATGCTTCCTTCATCTTCGCAAACTAAAGTGGGAATTACTGCAGGGGAACGTGGTGGAGGTGATGTGTATATATGTTTGGTAAGGAAGATTACGTTACGTAACGAAAAGTGCTTTCAGTTTGCAGATATTAGTGGACTATTTATCTCCGTGCCGTAACATTCACTCAAAGATTTTTTTTTTTTCTTGGAAGTTAGAGTGCGGTTGAGCTGTCAAGGAATGCATTGACTCTGGAATTACCAGGGAGTCGCTCTGTATGAAAAATAATCATGTATATCAAAACTCTAAAATTCAGTAAAAAGGAGTATTTCATGTCTCTGGCATGGTGAACTAACAGAATAACCAACGATGATAAATAACGATATGATGATAGGATGACATTTCCTCTGAAAAAATAACAAGGTCTGGCTGGCGGCGGGTAACTATGGTGCCCACTGAGCACTCTTTGGAAGGGGAAAATGACTTTAATTATAAGACTGACGGAGGGCGGTTGAATGCGACCTTTTCTCTGGCGCTGGTGTGAGAACATAAGTGCACGCTTACACTTAGAGGTAGGGAGAAACATGGCTGACAGAGAGTTATACCCAAACCCCAGTGTGTCACACCACACAGGCGCACACACACACACACACACACACACACACACACACACACACACACACACACATATCCGTGCACAAGCTGATCACACGATGTTATTGTATTAACGTTCGTTGATAATTATCAAGCTGCTGAATGATACTTACTCCAGTTCACTTCTTTGACAAACATTATACATGTTAGATGTTATATACAAGTCGATGATATCTACTATCTATATATGATAAATAACACAGAAATTATTTTTGATTAGAACAGAAAACTACTGCAAAATTAGTCTAAAATCAAATAAATATAAAACACCTTATCTAATATTTCCTGAGACAATATGGAAATCCGTGACATAGAGCCTGTATCCAGAGAGCGCGCACGGTGTCAGTGATAAAATAATCCTATGACCGCGCCTCAAGACCGACTTGTATTTATATATGCATTTCATTAGCATAATCAAT